ATGGTTAACCGTAACAAACCAGTCTTGCACAAGTATCACATCCCAGATAGTTGCAAAACTTCCTAAAACCATTACTCATTAGGCTGATGCAAGCCAATAATCTTCCGCCCATGGTTGATGATTTTTAGCAGACCACGATCCTGCAGACATAATTTAATAAGAAAGAATCCAAAAAACATAATTTAATATTACAACAGACATAAGTTCAACAGAATGAATCTAACTAAATTTTACCTCTTCGTCCTAGATATGTCTAGAAGTATGGTTCGGGTAAAGAGGCAGCAGTGATAAGTTGGACGAGCCTCCTCCAAACCTCTGAGGTACCTCTTAGGCCCGAGGTGCCTCAGGTACCTCTGCTGTCTCCTGGGCCTGAAATGCCTCAGGTGCTTCTACTGTCACCTGGGCCTGGAGTACTTCTAGTGTCCGAGGTACCTCTGGTGACTCGGGTACCTCTACTTCCTTGGGTGCTTTCATATGTGAACTATGTCGCCTACGAGAAGATGGAAGCATGAATGCATGAGGAGGGGACCCTCGTCTCCTACGAAAAGAGGAAAAAGAAGACAAAGATACACGAGCCCCAAAAGCTAACGTCTCCACATCAATCAGGCTAGAGGTAACATGAGCCTACGATGGTTGACTCTTTTCCCTCCGAACAAATGCATGATGTGCAATCATGTTGTGTCTCAATCGGTCATGTCTATCAGCCATAATTACTGTAAGAAACCACATCACAAGCGTTACACAATGATTTCATTCCAAAATAGGAAAAAAATGTAGATTGATACACTACGAAGATGCATCTCCGATTTTTGGATTTCCAAATGTAGTAAAATTCTGAAGATGCATCTTCCGAATATTCGAAAACTCTCACCATCGTCAATGGTGAAATGCAGATCCCTAAATCATCCAAAATAATGCATTGATCATAAAAATTACCTATCTAACTCGTTTTTTATTAAGTATAAGTTATTAGACATGTATAATATATCTATTTCATAACCTAATAATCAACTCCATCAAATTTATACAAAAAGTCAATAAAGTTTACAAAAATCAATGACTTACAAATAATTGCTTGAAGTTGGTTGATTGGACTTGATGTTGATGGAGGATGTTTTGAAGTTGCTTGATGTTGCTTGAATGATGTTTGAGAGAGTTTGAGAAAATGTGGTTTGAGAAAATATGTTTTTAGAAATGAGAAAGAAGAAGGAATTTTGACGTGTTTTTGAACAAATAACGTTTGAAGATGCATCTCCGTAATGTATTCAAAGATGTATTTCCGTAATATTTTTCTTTTGAGTTACGACCTGATTAAAAAATGTATTGAATTTTTAGTGCGTCCAAAGATACATTTTTGTAATATATACAAAGATGTATCTCCATAATATTTTTTCATTGAGTTATAGTTTGATTAAAAAATGTATTAAGTTTTGACACGTCTAAAAATATATTTTCAAATTTTAAAAGCATTATTGTATTTTCATGAAACGTGCTATTAGAGCATCCACATCCATCATACCCATTTGAGTTCTTTAAATGGAACCCACATAATTTTTTATATTATTTCACACTTCTCAATTTTTTAAATAATCCATCTACAATTCTTAAATATCCATGTAACTCATCAAAAAATCTAAAATGAGTCTCACATTTAAAACAAATCAACTACATTCTTGCAATTTTATTTATTAATTTATTATCATGACCCACTTAATTGGAGTGTAGAAGCGTGCTTTAGTATGAGGACGTGCTTTAGTTCAGGAACGTGAAAACAAGTGAAATATCTATTTATTATTGACACAATTTCTTTAATAAATGGATAGGAACTCTCAAAGAACACCGATAATCATGCTCTTAATACATAAAGTGCATTATAAAATTCCCAAAAATAATTTCTTTATTTAATATTTTATTGGACTTTTTTGTAATTGAACTTTCCTCTTAAGGCCCATTATTTTATGCATACTCTTTAGGCCCATTAGTATCACTATAAAAGTACAAATTTTATCCCTAACTCATGTCTTCTTGGTTGAAGGAGCACCGGCCACATCCTTCCTTTTCGGTTTCATCGCATATGCTTTGTTGCTCTTGATTTTCGGTGAGTCCTTTTACTTTCTTCTTGTTTTGCTTGTATCTCCTACTTTCTTTAGGGCAAGACTTTTTCTATTCTTTATTTTGTTAGGTTAGCTTTTTCTTTTATAAATATTGAAGAACCTAAACCAAATGCAAAAAGACAAGCTTAACTGTAATTTTATTTATTTCTATTTGAGATATGATTTGGATCTCAATGATTTCTTGCTCATAAGATTTATGTATGTTTAGATCTGAAATATGATGAAACATGAGGATAAATAACATGATTCTATTTAAATTTATAAATAATAGATTACAAAAAATTAAAATATGATGGAACTCCTTTCATCAATTTTTTTTAATTTTTTATTTGATATGATGTGTGACATATACAATTAGGAGTGAAAATAGGTCAGATCTATGATAGTTTTTTAAACTTCGAGTCTTATCTATGAACTACTTTAGGTTTATTTTTTAAGACTATTTAAAAATATAATAATTTATTTCAAATTATTTGTATTTTTAAATAGCAAATACATGCTCACCTTTCATATGTTTTAAATTGTCTTTTTTTTTAAAAAGAAACGAGACTACAGATACATGTCACGGGTTTGAATCTCACTTGGTGTATTTTTTTATATGTTTGATTTATTATCATTAATTTTATTTCCATCATAAAAAAAGCTTTTTTTTATTATTTAAATATTATTTTTGTATTTTTATTATGGTATTTTTGAAAATTATAATAAATATAAAAAATATTTTTTTTTAAATAGGTATTTTTTGTTGGCCATTTGATGTCAATTTGTGTCGCACTTAATTTTTGATTGGTTATTTTATTTTATTTTCAATTTGGATGATTTTTTTATCTATAAATAAGACATGTTTTTCACACTTCTAAATCATCAACAATTCTCACAATTTCACTACACTTACACTATTTTCAACTTTCACTTTCATACATTTTTTCAATCTCTTTTCAAGGTTTCTTTTCAAACTGTTATTTGGCCGATGATTTAATATGAGACCTCCGTTTTCAATATTTTTTATTTTATTTGTTTGTTCTTGTTTTTCAATCAAATGATGATTCTTGATGGTTGTTTTTGTTTCTTTGAAATTATTTTGTTTATATCAACAATTTCACCTACAATCATTCACTATGATAACACCTAGAATTTTTCTCACACTTCACAAGCCATTTCGTACATACTTTCTTACACCACAAAATCGTTTAATCATTATACATACACTCTTGACCTTATACACTATACTCACAAACACGTCCTTATGAACTATTTTTTTATACTAAAAAAAATTGTTTTTTATTAAGAATAAACTCTTATTTTTACTTGTGAGTCTACTCTAAGTTTTTATATATAGAGATTAATTCACAAATTAATCAACTTTCTACACAAAATCTTGACATGATTTTTTTACACAAAACGCAAATTCAAAAAATTAAAATCATTGACACTAACTATCAAATCTCCTGCAATTTTTTTTATAGCAACTACAATACAAAAGATGCCGTCCAATAACGAATAGGAAAAATATACTGGTGAAAAAAGAGCATCAGGAAGAGATAAGAAAGGAATTTTGTCTGGGTATTGTTTCGTTCTCTTTCTAATACTATGTGTTATTACTATTTTTATTTTCGTTTTTCTTTTGCTTGACACATGTTGGCTATTCATCTTGGCCATAGTTTGAAGCATACAAAACAGAGCTGCACCATTTTCCCTTTACGTTGCACTTACAAGTTGCAACATTGCATAAATTGTTTTTCCACTTTTTTATATTTTTTAAAATTAGGATTATTGATATTTTGATTTTGGGCCTAGAATAAAATTGCAATTCATGCCTCTTATTACTGGTTAGTACCCTTTAGGAATTAGTATTCTTTTGATAAAATTTAAATATTTTAATTAGTTTAGTTTTCTTTTCATTAAATAATTTTTTTAAAATTATTTTTTTAATTAGTTTAAGTAAAATAATAATTTTCTCATCAACTTATATGACTAATCATCAAAATACAAAAAAATAATAAAATATAAAAAAAATCAAATATAAAATGATAAAAATACTAATTATTTCACTTACATATATATCAAACACCATTGGTAAATTTAATCAATTCAATATTCTCCAAGAATATTAAATCCACGCAACTTACCAAGAATTCTATCTGCGAGTAACATGTGACCAATATCTGGCCACGTGAGAGAGAGACTATATCAGATGAGCGTCATGTGATCAATATCTGATCACGTGATGAGAAGACTATATCAAACTCCCATCGCTCTATATCTTAATATAGCTAACCAATCCAAAAATATTTTTTCAATTGACTGTGAAATGCGTCTACAATCACTCTTTTACAAAACTCAGACAAGATTCAAGGATAAATTCAAAATCAATTCTACGCAATCCTATAAAAAACATCAACCCACTACAAGTTATGAATTGAAACTCTGATTCCTCCTACTAAAAACCCTATTCCCTAAAGATTAATTCTAAACCTAGTATCCTTGTGTTCCTTCGTCTAAAACCGAGTCAAATAAAAATTAAGAGTGATAATTTTTATTTTAAAACCAATTATAACAGCAGACGATTCTGTTAGAAAAATTAGTTTACAACAATACAACCTTTTAATCTTATGACTATTCAAATTTCTAAATCAGAGTCAAATTTTCTCTTTATCGATTATTCTTTTTTGAACTTTAACTACTTCGAGACTCTTCATTATTTTATGAAAGGAATCAAATTTTCCCTCTATTTTTTCAAATTTATCTCCATTTTTTAGTCCGACTTTGCTCCATTTATCTCCTTTCAATTAATAAATTTTGACACATGGCTAAAATAAAATGAAAGAAAACAGTAATGTTTCAATGCTTACCGATTAATAAATTTTGACACATGGCTAAAATAAAATGAAAGAAAACAGTAATGTTTCAATGCTTAGCGGTAGTTTCTTTTTTCCTTTTCTTCTTCCTCCTCTTTCTAAAATGAAAGAAAACAGTAATGTTTCAATGCTTAGCTGTAGTTTCTTTTTTCCTTTTCTTCTTCCTCCTGTTTCCATGTCACCGCTAGTCACCGAAACCACCATCGCCAGCACTATCCTTCCTGTCCGTACCTTCATCAATGTTTGTTGTATCTCGCCGTTACCTTCATATCGGTGTCTTGCCGTTAATGTTGTTATCGCCACTTTGTTATTACATTGTATTGCTAATTTTCTGGTTATATCCTCCCCGGTATATTATAAAATTTTAAAATTAATATTTCAATCTAGAAAAAACAAATATGAAAAACTTTTAATATTTTAAAAAGTGGTTTTAAAAATCTATTTTAAAAATATTTTTTTAAAAAACTAAAACAAATATATTCTATTTTTGTTAGAGAATAATTTAACTAATAGTTTTATGTTTTTTTGTGGGTACACATTTTAATGTAGTTTTACCTATCTTGAAGGTATTACACCCATTTAGTATTCTCCCAGTATTTACCATTTTACCATTTTGAGTTTGATTTATTTCTTTCATAATTACTTAACTAATTTATCAATTGCTATCAAATTTTGCAAATTTAATTAGTCTTAATTTTAAATATTTTCATAATTAACCTATCATATTTCTATATTTATTTTTACTTTTTAATGACTGACTTATTGCTAAGTCGTATCCTTAATTTAAGTCTATTTAGTACTATTATTTTTAGAGAAATACTGACAAGTGCTTTAGGAATTGATTAAGAGCTTAAAAATCTATGTTTTATTTAAAATATTTGTATTTAATGTACTAAAATAGAAATAGTTGATTTTTTTAAGAAACTAAAATGTATGATTCATTGAAAATATTTGTATTTAATGCATTAAAATTGAAACAATTAATTTATTTAGAGAATGTCTTCTTTATTTGGAAACCTTAAATAGTATCCGGAGTACTTGTTACTATTATTTTTATTTTTAATATATTTTTTTATTTTATTCAAAAATATTTAATATAAATAGTATTTTTAATATATGAAATTCAAAAGACTAAGAGAATAAAAGATATATATTGATAATGTAAAATCAATCGATCACAGTTAGGGGTGTTCAAAATCAAACCGGTTCAATAGAAAACTGTAAAATTGAACCGAATCAAACTGAAATCGCAAAAAAATGCATTTGATTCGGATGTGTTTGGGTCATTTTCTCGTGGAACCGCATGGTTCGGTTCGGTTTGCGGTTTGTATTTTACAAACCGAACCAAACCAAACAAAACCGCGTTATGTTATAAAATCTTCCTAACTAATATTTATTTCTATAATTCTTTAGAGAAATCAACATGTATTATGTGTATATTTTATCATACTTTGTATTATATTCATTTTAATTTACAAATCATAAAAAATAAAATATTATTCATTTATAAATACTATTTTCACAAAATATATTTTATCATATTCTTTGTATAATATTTATTTAAGAATGCAATCTTGTTGATATCATTATTTATATTTAGATAAAATTATAATACGCAATTTTATGTATCAAATTATAAATTTATTTTGACAATTATAATTTTTTTATGGTAATATATGAACAATTAAATATAAAATTATATTTTCCTATATATTTGTATGTGTGACATAATAATTATTTTTGTAAAAAAACGAAACAACCGAACTAATCCAAACCGCATTAGTTTGGTTTGGTTTGGTTCGAATTTATTTTTAAAAGCCAACCGAATCACATGTTTTTTTCTCTTGCGGTTCGGATGATTTTTTACTTCAAAATCGCTCAAACCGCACCGCGAACACCCATAATCACAGTCATGTGAAGTGGTAAATCTTACTATTATTTTTAAATAAATTATATAACATAATTAAATAATGAATTTTAGTATATCTTAAATGTATTATCTTTTAACTTAAAGATTAATTACACTTAGTTAAAGTTTTTAATTAGCATTAATTTTTTTGAATAGTGACAAAAGAAAGTAGTATTTACATTATTTGGAAGTGACTCTCGTATTTTCCTTTTGTGATGTGAATTGGTTGTAGTTAAAGTGCGGTGGAACAAAACATGAAAAGTATGCTTTAGAGTTGTTGGATGGTAGAGATATGATGATATGGTCAAAAGAGACAGCTTCCAAATCTTGTGATAAAAACTCATCACATTGTAGTCTTCAAAATCAAAAGCACCATGCTCCCATGCTGTTGAATTCTAGTTCTAAAAATTCACAGGTATGTATACATATTTACTTTTCAGCTATCACAATTAGTTTTTACTATAAAAGAATATGATAATGTATTTTAAATATTTAGGTTAAATTACTTTTTTTATTCTCAATTCTATCTGATTCACAAAATTAGTCATTTTATTTTTTAAATAGTTTTGATTATTCTCTCATCTTCTTTTCATAAAAAATCAATGAAATATTCATTTCTTAATATATATTTTTATCTATAAAGTCCAACAATAAAAATTGTGATAATATATATTTATCACGTTTAACAAAAAAATTGTCATTTAAAAAATTGAAATATCATTTAGAAAAATATAAGAAAGAGAACAAAACTGTCTAAATTTAAAATGGGAAGATTAATTTTGTGAATCATGCCAAATTTCTATCTAATTTTTAGGTGATCTCTCTATGTTTGAATTTTGTTTAATATGCATCCATCGTTAAAATATTTAATGTCGTATTTTTTACATTTATTTATTTAAAAATATATTTAAATTTTAAAGATACGGGTCCATTTGAGATGGTTTTTGGAAAGGTTTTGAAGGGAAAGACTTTGGACATCTGTATCTATATCTTGAAAATGTGTTTGATATTTTTAAAAAGTTTATTTCTTTTTTTGTCAAAAAAAAGTTTAAAAAACAATAAACTACGTTAGTATATTATTTTTTATACTTTTTAAAAATATCAAATACATTTTAAGATGTAAATACACTCCAAAACCTTTTCCTTTAAAACTTCTAAAAATCAACTCTCAAACGAACTCTTAATCTTCTTAATTATATAGAGTAATCAAAATTGAACCAAATCAACTGGTTCGATCGTTTCAATCAAACATGTGTCTGCTCCATTTGACAGTAGAAACCGTCGTGCCATAAAACCAAGAGAAAAATTGGAAAGAGAACATGAGGTTGAAACAAGAGGAAGAATTTAGTGATTTGTATAAAAAATATCAGGAGCGGGAGAGTGCTATGATATTTTTCATTGGAAAGTATGAAGGCTATTAATTGAAAAATTTGAAAGTTGGACAATGTGTTTTTCATTTGAAAGAAGTATATCAAAGGTTCGAAGTGATTTACTTATTACGATAATGAAGTAGTATTAGATGGATCAATAAGATTTGTATTTAATTTTATGTGATTAGGATTAGATGTATGATAGAGTTTGCTGAGAGATTTAGTGAAAAGTCCTATAGAAGAAAGATGTTAGGATTATCTATATTCGAACTATGTGAGATATGTATGAGAAAATATCGACTACTGTGCGGACAAAAGGTGGAGAGATGAATGATTTTTCCAGTAACAATGAGATTTTACCAAGGTTCAACCACCTTTTTTTATATTTTAATTTTGGATTTACTCACGGAACACGTCCAAGAACTAACACCGAGATGTATGCTTTTTGAATATCCTATAGTCTTACTTGGAGAGTTGGTGGAGGATTTGAATAAAAGGTTACAGACTTTGAGACGAGACTTAAAAGCGTATCGTATTTTTCAGTTAATGATATATCAGATACATATCGTATCTGATACTCATATCCTGTATGTACTTCGTTGCTGCGGTAAAATGCAACATGCATAATAGTCGAAAACCCAAAATCTTCAACGCAACTGTTATTTAAAATCTTGCATATTGATACAAGTGCTAACAACACTCTCTCTAATTGTTGAGGGTTCTAGGAGTGCCAGAAGTATCAATGGGATAAATGTTCAGGATAGAAGAGACCTTGACGTCACATATCCATTCAAAATCTTAAGGCTTTGTTTGCAAGTTTGGAGGGGAGGAGAGGGGAAGACTTCCGAAAATGAATTTTTAAAAAAATATAGGAAAAATATTTGACATTTTTTGATAAAATAGTTTTATATAGAATGATAAAAAAATGTTTATCATTACAATATTTTTAATTTTTTGAATACTATAACAACATAAAATATATTTGGAACATTAATGTAAACCCTCCAAAACCCTCATTCAATATAAATTTTGAGTTTTTCTAAATTAGGGGATTTTTGGTGTTATAAATAAAAGTTAACCCTCCAAAACCCTTCCAACCAAAATTTTTCTTTCTATTCTTTTCACCCAATCCTTCCTATATTTCAAAACTCTTCCTCCAAACTCGCAAACAAAACATAAGGTATTAGGTGTTTAGTCTTTCTCTTATATATCCAATATTTCTTTCATTTTTAGTCGAAGTGAAATTTTTAACCAGAATCGTAACACTGGCACATACATTTTTAAATATTTTTTATTAGCTAAAGTTTATATAGGTTCTACCAAATTTATAGAGGTTCTCTTTATTTAGAGATTCATATGAATTTCAATCAAAGTAAAAATATAATACAATAGTGAGTGTGTTGTTAATCGTATTCATGTTGGTATAAGTAAGTGTTTCCACATAAATCTTACTAAATTTTTTTTAAACTCAAGATCCTAGTAGATATGTCCACTTTATATGGTTTTCATGCTTATATATGATTACTTTCTGCAAGTTAAAATTATTTGTTGAAATGCAATCGAGATGAAATTTAACAAGCGGATTAACTTTTGATAACTCTATCATAGAGACTCAATCAAAACTTGATATAACTATCCATTGTATAGGTTGTTAAATTGTTTTTACGTGTATTGTTTTATTTTTTATTTCAGAAGATGCAGTGTAAGCAATACATAAATGGTAAAAAGAAATATGGTATCGATAATACCAAAGATCAAAAAAGAAAACCACCTTCTCCTGTCTTATGTTCAATACCATCAAATGGAAAAAAGACTAAATATGATTCCCCTGCTCAAAATGATAGGGTTGATTCTTGTTCTATTTCTAGACAAGACTATTCTCATCTAAGTGAGGTTCAAGATTCTGCGAAACAACCAAATTATCTTATGAACGAAGAGAGTTTTCATATTCATGTTAGAGATTTAATGGATAATAATTATTCTTATGGTATCGCGACATCAATCAAAGAGAAACTAAAAGAAGAAGACATGGAATTCGTTGACTCTCGAAAGAAATTTTTACCTCCTAGGAGTAACCATCTTCCAAGACCATTTATTCCCATTGGACCTAGGTTTCAAGCTGAAGTTCCTAAATGGGAGGCCTCGACCAACATAAATCAATATGATAATGATAACTGTTTGAAGTGGTTAGGCACTCAAATTTGGCCAATACCTTCTTTATCTAGAAATAATGCAAAAAGTCTTGGAAAAGGTATGCCCGACTCAAGCTCAGGTGAGAACCTTGAATCAGTTGATTGTGTTAAAACACATGGTGAAGTTAGAGAGTGCTTTAAATGGAAGGTTAATGACACTTTCTCAAGTTGGAAATTTGATAACTAGAAAGAAGATGTGTCAAAATCATGGACAATGGAAGAGGAGAAGAAATTTGAATCTCTAGTGAAATTGAACCTATTATCAAGTGACACAAAATTTTGGAAGCTCACCATGGAGTACTTTCCATCCAAATCTATTGAGTGCATGATGAATTACTATTATAATGTATACATCACATCACTAGATGCATGAGTATAGAAGAGAAGATCTCCCTTTAACATAATAGTTGATGGTGAATCAAAATGATAACTATGAGATGGAAGGTGCATGTTCATCTAAAGGCATGACTATGTTTTCAATTGCCAAAATTTGGAAAAATTGCAATATTGAAGATGTTAAGAGCTCGATATCTAGTTCACACATCTTCAATTTCAATATCATTTAGAAGATGTAGTCCTTGAATGTGCTCTAAATTCTTAAAAGTTAAGTCTTTATAGTTATGCATAGATGATATCTTAATTTTTTTAAAGAAAAGTTGATACAAGTTTTGTACATAAATTTATTGTTGGAAATTCCGCTTTTATGGTAGTTTTTCTTTAGTCGTTTATTGCATTATTTGAGTTGTTTTATTGTAGTCTCTAACAATTTCACTCTGTTGGATTTGAAGGGTGAGTTTAGTTTCATATTGTTTAGAGATATAATCTATGTAGTTTTAATAAAGCAGATATAATCTATGTAGTTTTAATAAAGCTTAGTGTGTCTTCTTTATTTTACAAGTTAGTTTTGTAGAATTGAATTAGTTATGACTTATAATTTTAAGATACTATCATAAGTTATTCTAGATATCTTGTTGGACTATCTACATTATATATGTCTTAAGAGAATTTAGCTTACCACCTTATGAGTTATGGCATTCCCTTTTTTTAGTGCTTTTACGTTAATACTCTTTTATAAACATCAGAAATTTTGAAAAATATAGGTTGTTATCAGAAATTTCAGAAGATTATCGGAAATTTTTTCATAACTTTCTATTTTTTACCGTGACAGGTGAGAGATTACCAGGAATTTCTAATTTTCGAGTAAAAGAGAGAAATTATCGAAATTTTGGAATTCTTGTTAATTACCAAAAGTTTTTGGAAAATTTTGAAATTTCATGTATAGTATCAGCAAGTTTTTTCCTTGATTTTTCTCGAATAACCGAATCGTTAAAAATGCTACCCGACTAAATATACATATAATAATTGTCATATATAGAAGAATACAAAACAAACTAGGATGACTTCCTAATTTTGTCTTCCCCTTGATTAAAACGGCACATATGCTAATTTTCATGCTTTTGTATCATCAGTACAATTTTGTTCCAACTGTCTGTGACAGAGGCAATGAGTTATCCGGTTTTAACTTTACCAGAATCTAATGATTGTTGTTGACAAAACCAACAATAACGATTTTATGTCTGCTCGTATACATAGGTGGAACTAAGGCAAGAAGAAAAAATGTGATGTTAAGTTTCATGGAAAGGAAAATAAATACGACATTGTATCTAAAAGCAATAGGGTAATCCATATCAAAAATTGTTATCCATTTATCCATATCATGCACACCCAAGTTGTATACTCGTAACACATTCCTAACTGTAGAGAAAATGCCATAGAACAACTTTGAAAACAATCGAGAGTGTTGGTGAACTTCAGCATTTAACCGCGTTCGTATCAAAGGCCACAACTCTTTGCCACATCCAAGTAAAGATGCAATAGAACAGAAACCACAATTTTTATCGTCACCAACATCAATAATGTCATCGATGTATGGATGTAAAAATAAAGGAAATCGTGACAAGTAAATATCTCTTGAAGAAATTGGCATACTTGACGGTTGACTTCCAGTTGGTTTTGTGCATGATCTCTTTGTTGTCTGACTCTCCTTCTATCCTTAAGCATACTTCCACTAGCTAGTATCACGATGTACATCACTTTCTTGATCATGTCTACTCTTCTTAATTTCCTTATTTGGCTTATACTTCACCGGTGATGGACACATATAAGTTGTGGATGAATGTGTAAGTTCTTGAACCTTTTTCTTCAACAACATCTAACCTACAATATCCAATGTACTGAAATATATCTTCAACTCTTCACACTCTACTTCTAAATTCCACTTTGTACCACTCTCATCATGACTGACCTCATAATACTCTGTAATGTGCAATTTCGTTCAAAATACATGAATTAAGTCTAAAGGAACATGATTGCCTAGTACTTGGAAACCGACAAGCTGAAACGCACATAGTAACCTGTGTGTTGTTCTAATGAAGCAACCATATCTTTTTTTGCTCATACCAATAAATTTTACCCTTTCTAGTTCCTTTCCAATGAGCTATATACATTTTCTTGAGACAAAACCATGCAACTGGGCATATAGTAAAGTGTTATACCGATGCTCAATATTGACAATACTTTTTTAAAACGAAACTCTGATTGAACAACCTCAACACGGTGTTCACATCATTCCAACTTTGTCATAAATCTCCCCGACTTGTAGTCAACATGTTTTTTAATCTCCAATGAGCAGACTCTACCCTAAAAACCATAAATAGAAATATATGTTAAATTATGATTAGTAATGTAATAATATCAAATTGTTATGTTCCGTGTATCTATTTGTTGTTGTGTTTCCTAAATGAATGACTTTATTAGTCCAAGCAGTCACCAACCTTCTTTATAAGGTGTCAACCATGTGTCATTCACATATTTAACAAATAAAGGAATATCAACACAAATACTCTCAAAGTGCTTGAAGTGTTTGATAAACTTTGTTTTTGTATTTAAATCCATATTATTGTTTCATAGATCCATTGCATGTTCTTATCTTTCTGATTTAATGTACTATTTACATTTCATGCTCATGTTTTTTTAAATATGGAACAAACACAACATATGAGTTGCATTTGAGAACACAGATTCCATGACATTCATCAATGCAAATTCTCGGTCCATCACCACAACCTTCAGTAGCAATTTCTCAGTAGAGAACGACTCTTTGAACTTCACCAATGCCCATGTAAAACTCTCCTCCCTTTCATGTTCCAAATAGGAAAATACAACTAAAAACGTCAACACACCAACAATCTCAAGCAGTGGTATCTGGTACCTGCACGATCAAAATGCACATAATCAAACTATAACTCAATATCTACAACAAAAATCAGGATGTACAATCAAAAGTTCTTACCTATTTGTCTTGTATGTGTAATCAAAAATCAACACCAGATGAAATATATTCAACAACTTTACAGAATCAGGATGTGTCCAAAAGATATCAGCTTCAACATTTGAGTTACTCTATTTTTAGTCCAACATATATATTTCTCTTTATGAATAAGGCTCAACAACATATGCATTTCTGTTAATGGACCTCTCTTGCTCATTCTGTATGTAGCTCTAGATTTATACACCTGAGTAACACTTGTGAGGTTTTCTAGATCTTTGTCTTTTAAAACAACAACTATGTACCTTGGAGCCATATTGTACTTCGTCATGTCATTCACAAACTTTCTTTCATGATCTTTTAGACAGTCCAATATGTCACGGCCTTCCAAATTCTCAGATAGTTTATGATTGTGCATCCCGCACCTAACCATCATCTTTCAACCGATACCACTTGGAACATATCTCAACCTAAAAGAACATTTAACTTTCATAATATAAATGTCTTCTAAAGAGTTATTGCTTTCAGATGCATTCCTTCTTTTATAATTTCCTCCCCTCTCACAATCCATAACCAATTTATCATTTCTCCCTGACATTCCATTAGCATAATCGGCACGAACAATGACAACAAAAATACCATACAGTTATCAGTAGTATATGTCCAAACTAAAACTTTAGACCGAGACTTAAATAACTGTCAATTACAATATATAAATTTAAAGTATTAGTTTCATAAAGACAGAAAAACAATTAAAAATATCATTTGTTGCATAGAAAACAATTAAAAATAGTATTTGTTGCATAGAAAACATGCGACATCGTGGTGAAGACCTCCGTAAAATATGTATAGAAGTCCGTAGAAGAAATTATCGATTCTGAACCACACAAATAAAGAATTTTATCTACAATCATACCCGAAATTTCTAGTATTTCCAAAATTTTAAGTGTATCAGAAATTTCAAAATTTCAGAAATATTTAGTTATTACCTAAAAATTTCAAAAATTATCGATATATTTCTTTAGTTTTCTAGCACAATACCAGCTTTTTCAAAATTTCTATTAAATCAACTCCGTAAATTTTGAGATTTAAACACTATTTACTATAAAAACGTGAAATACGAAAAAAAAAAAATCGTTTTGGTTACCGGAAATTTCATTTTTACTGCATGTCTTATAGTAATTTTTTAAAAAAATATATATTTTGTTAAGGTAAATATTAACAAACGCATTTTTGTCAATTAAAAGAAAAGGAAGAGAGAAAGGTGCCAAGGTTTAATTACAGGGACGACATGTTGAATTCTCATGCCTTCAGGCTCGCTTAGAGAGGATGTTGGAAATTTTACCTTGAAATTTGTTTATTTCTTCCATTTTGGAAGAAATTTGTACTAATGAAAAAAATCCCTCTATTCAATTTGGGAGATCATCATTTCTTCCATTTCTTTCTCCTTCGATCTTGCGAGTTTAAACGGAATGGAAGAAATGGGATAGAGTATAGTGAAATATAGAAAAACCTTCTACAATTTTTTGAAAAAGTATCTTTTAAAATAGTGAATTTTTTTTATTAGTAACCAAGTATTAAAAAAATATTTCGCGAATAATCGGGTTTCGGAAAAAATTACGCAAATAACCATGTTTGAGATGGCTCCATAAAGGAGGAGCCATCTCATTTGGCGCATCCTCCTCTTTTTATAAGGGAGGCGCCATCTCATTTGGCGCCTAAGGGCAAATGGCAAGCCCTAAGCCAAGTGAGATGGCGCCTATGTACAAAGTTAGGTCAAAAAAAATTTTTTTTTTCTTCTTTCCTGCGCGTTGCGTATTAGACAGAGATAAACAAAATTGATTTTTTATTTGATAAAA